TCTACAATGTAAACTATAAAAATTTAATGAAACAAATTGAAGAGGACACAAATAAATGGAAAGAGATCTTGTGTTGGAAGAATTAATATTGTTAAAATGATCAAACTACCCAAAGCGATCTACAGATTTAATGCAATCTCTATCAAAATACCAATGATATTCTTCACAGAAATAGAAAAAACAATTTAAAATTCATATAGAAGCACAAAATGCCCCAAATAGCCAAAGCAATATTGAGCGAAAAAGCTGGAGGCATCACATCACTCGATTTCAAAATATACTACAAAGCTATAGTTACCGAAACAGCATGGTACTGGTATAAAAACAGACACACAGACCAATGGAACAGAATAGAGAGCCCAGAAATAAATTCATGTAATAATACCTACAGCCAACAGATTTTTGGCAAAGATGACAAGAATGCACAATGGGGAAAGGACAGTCTCTTCAATAAATGGTGCTGGGAAAATTGGATATCCATATTCAGAAGAATTAGACTAGACCCTTGCCTCTTACCATATACAAAAATAAACACAAAATGGATCAAAGACTTAAAACCTAAAACTATGAAACTATTATTAATAGAAGCAAACATAGGAAAAATGCTTCATGACATTGGGCTGGGCAAGGCTTTTTTAAATAAGACTTCAAAAGCATAGGCAACAAAGCAAAACTAGACAAATGGAATTACATCAAAATAAAACGCTTTTGCATAGCTAAAGAAATTATTAACAGAGTTAAGAGATGACCTACAGAGTAGGAGAAAATAATCTGCAAACTATACATCTGACAAAGGGTTAATATCCAGAATATATAAGAAACTTAAATAATTAGCAGCAAAAAACCAAATAACCCAATTTTAAAATGAGCAAAAGATTATTTATTTATTTATTTTTAGAGACAGGGTTTCATTATGTCACCTAGGGTGGAGTGGAGTGGCCATTCACAGGTATGATCATAGCTCACTGCAGCCCTGAGCTCCTGGGCTAGAGCAATCCACCTGTATCTGCCTTCTGAGCAGCTGGGACTAAAGGCACGTTCTACCATGCCTGGCTAAAAGATCTTAATAGACACCTTTCAGAAGAAGACATACAAATGGCCAACAAGTACAAGAAAAAATGCTCAACATCACTAATAATCAAGAAAATGCAAATCAAAACCACAATGATCAATCATAACCTCACTCCAGTTAGAATGGCTATTATCAAAAAGACAAAAGAAAACAGTGTGGGTGAGGATGTGGAGAAAAGGAACACTTACATACGGTTGTGTGATTGTAAACTAGTACTGTCATTACAGAAAACAGTATGGGAGTTCCTCAAAAAACTAAAAATAGAATTACCATGTGGTCCAGTAATCCCACTACTGGGTATATATATCAAAAGAAAATGAAATCAGTATGTCAAAGAGATAGGCTGGGCGCAGTGGCTCACGCCTGTAATCCTAGCGCTTTGGGAGGCTGAGGTGGGAGCATCACTGGAACTCAGGAGTTCAAGACCAGCCTGAGCAAGAGCGAGACCCTGTCTCTGCTAAAAGCAGAAAAATTAGCCAGGTGCTGTGGTATGTGCCTATAGTCCCAACTACTTGGGAGGCTGAGGCAAAAGGATTGCTTGAGCCCAGGAGTTTGAGTTTGCAGTGAGCTACGATGATGCAGGGTCTCAAGCTCTACTTGGAGCGATAGAGTTAAGACTCTGTCTCAAAAAAAAAAAAAAAAAAAAGGAAAAGGTATCTGCACTCCCATGTTTGCTGCAGCAATATTCACAACAGCCAAGATAAGGAATCAATCTAAGTATCCAACAATGGATGACTGGATAAAGAAAATGTGGCGTACATACACAATGGAATACTATTCAGCCATAAAAAGAATAAGATCTCATTATTTGTGGCAACATGGATGGGCCTGGAGGTCATTACGTTAACTGAAGTAGTCTAGGCACAGAGAGACAAATAGAGATGGGCCAGGGGCGGTGGCTCATGCCTGTAATCCCAGCACTTTGGGAGGCTGAGGCAGAAGGATTGCTCGAGGCCAGGAGTCTGAGAAAGACAAATATGACATGATCTCATTCATATGTGGAATCCAAAAAGAAAAAAAAAAAGTTGGTGTCTTAGAACCAGAGAGTAGAACAGTGGTTACCAGAGACTGGGGATGGGTGGGAGGAAGGAAGGATGAGGAAAGCTTGGTCAACAGGTACGAAGTTACAATTAGACAGGAGGGATAAATTCTGGTGTTCTACTGCATTGTAGGGTGTCTATGGTTGACAATAAAGTATTGTATATTACAAAATAGCTAGAAGAGGGGCTTTTGAATGTTCTTACCACAAGAAATGACAAATGCATGAGGTTATAAACTAACTCTTCTGATTAGATCATTATACAAACATATATATTGAAACATCAAATTATACCTCATAAATATGTACAATTACAATGTGTCGATTAAAAAAAATTAAAAAATCTGGATCTTTAATAGCCGAATGATATTGGTTGGATATACTGTGAAAGGCCTTTTTATTTGTTTTTGTATCCCAGGACCTCGTGTAGTGTCTGGCACAAAATGAGTACAAGTGATCATACTTTGAAAAATATTTCTGGCCGGGAACGGTGGCTCATGCCTGTAATCCCAGCACTTGGAGAGGATGACTTGAGGCCAGGAGTTTGAGACCAGCCTGGACAACATGGCGAGATCCTTTTCTACAAAAAAATAAAAAAATTAGCCAGGCATGGTGGAACGCCCCTTTAGTCCTAGCTACTTGAGAGGCTGAGGTGGGAGGATCACTGGAGCCCAGGAATTCCAGCCCAGGTGACAGAGTGAGACCCTATCTCTTAAAAGTAAATAAATAAATAAAAATATGTTTTCCAAGAATCCCTTAGATGTAGAAACTTGACTAAACCATGCAAAATAATAAGAATAAATACTGTAACTATCTTATCTCTCTTAGATACCTTCCTACCTCTCTATGCCAGATGAGAAGGAAGGGACAGCTGTCAGGGTCTGCTCCTGTTCTACATCAAGGATAAAGGCCACAGAACAACTCCAAAGACTCTACTGGAACCCTTTCCACTCAAATTCACAGCTGACAAAAGTATCCAGGTGGTAACAGGAGTGGAGTGAGATTTCTTGTCAGTTCATATCTGGGAAGGTGAGAAAGCAAGTATGGACATGATTAAACATGTTCTGTTTGCTACACTAGGCAGATAGGAGATATGGTTTGTGGTTCTATACACAGGCATCATCGAGACAACTAACAATGCATTAACTGTAAGAAAACAATATTCACCACCAATGTGGTTCAAATCAGAGAAAGATTGGCATGGGTTTATTCGGAAGTACTACGGTGGTCAATCGTCCTTTTTAAGTCCCATGAGTTATTAGGTTTGGCAGATTACCACTGCAGTTTTTCACCCCAATACCTTCTTTCTTTAAATATGTGAAAATGTTCGTATTTTCCCCTGGAAGGCCCACTGGAATTGCAGTGAAGCATTTGGCTGGGTCTTCCGCCTCATCACAGCTGAGGCATGTGGCTAAGTTGTCTGGACGACAAGAATGCAGGGTTGCTGCTTCACAGGGTGGCCCAAGGGAGAATGCTGGGACAGAATGGCATTCATCAGCAGAGAAGGCTAAGTTCTACAATGACCGAAGGACATGGGGAATTGAATGGGATCAAGCAACTGAGAGCAAGGCCAGGGAGGCTAAAAGTCAAGTGCTGTAAGATAAATGGTTGTAGACCCAAAAGGCCTCGTGCTCTCTGGCAATAAATACACTTGGGGAAAGAGGGCAGGCAGATGGAAGGGATAAGTGAACAAAGTCATCAAGGGTAAGAAAGATACTGAATGAAACAACTGCTCCTGAGAAAGTACTACAAGAAAGCAGAAGAAATTTATGAACTGCAAAAGAAGCAAATGCAGAGGAGGGCATTCTCCCACTCCTATTAACCTACCATAAGCTTCAGAGAGCAATAAATTGCATGGGTTTTGGGAGCCAGAGATTAATGCAGACCACAGAAGAGTTGCTGATAGGTGGAATAGGTAACTGATTAACACCAGATGGAACCCTGTTGGGAAATTAAATGTCCTACCTGATTCAAAATTCATGAGGGAAAATGAGTTCAGATGCCAAAGTAGGAGTAAATTTCCCTGGAGAAAAGGTGACCTTAGAAGGAAGCAGGGCTGACCTTTAACAGGTGTCAGAAACCGCTGCATTTGCGTAGTAGAAAGAATACAGGTGTTGCGAGTCGAGATAGACATGAGTTCCAGTCTCGGATCTCCTATCTGATTTTTACTTTATTTATTATACAACCCTGGGCAAAGCACTTAATCTCTCTGAGCAATTTCCTCACCTACAAAGTCTGAATTAGAAATCCTCCACTTATAGGGCTGCAAAGCCTTTACTACAATAACTTACATGTAATGGCAACTCCATAAATGGTAGCTATTATTGTTGTTTTAAGTCCGAACCAAATTTATAACCAGAGGTGAACTGAGATAGGGGGATTCTCAGAAATTCCCTGAGTTGGAAAGAGTGGATATCAAGGAAATCGTAAAAGCTCCAACGTTACATATTCTAATATCACATGTTTAAATATCAAGAATGACAGCTGAGCTCTAACTATATTGCTCTTCATTAAGAGAATTTTCCTTCTGTACAAAATGCGTTTTTAAAAAATCCATTGTCCTCTTCTGTGTTTTCTAAATTGTTCTTGTCATTAAGTACGTATCATTTTTATAATTAGGAAAATGAACTTATTTTAAAGAGGTGGAAAAGAGACAGACAGACACACCATCTGCTACTGCCAGAGCCCGAGCAACTGAGCTAAGGAAGTGGCAGTGGACTGAAGGTGATAAATCTGAGAAAAATCTACAAGGTGTTCAAACTCCTCCACTGGGAATTTGTGGATAGTGTTTCGAGAGCCACTGTCATCACGTGGGCCCTAAGATTTAAATTATTTTAAGATAATTTTTTAAACGAAAGAATAAAGTTTTAAGAAATCTAGCAATTTTACCTGATAAGGTCCTGAACTCGACTGTTAAAAGCATCACCTTGTGAGGGTTTGTTTTTCATTTCCTGTGTTGATATTTTTGGTGTAACTGGCCGGCTGTTTCCATCTGGTCGATTGGCAATCAGGCAGCTAAAAACCACAGCACTGACTTTGAGAAGTCCAGTTGTTAAGCCTTCAAAAACTTGTTTATTTGTATTTCTTCCCAAAATAGCATTATTTTTATCTGGAACATAAACCTAGATGAAAAAAAGTACAGTAAATGTGTTTCAATAAAACCACCAAAAACTGAGAAGATTTAGAACATTTCTGGAATCATAAATAATTTTGAAATTCTATAGGTGACAATCTAAAATGTTCAAGCGTGTTGGCTCTGAAGTCAGATTGCTAGTTCAAATCTCAGCTTTGCCCTCACTAGCTGGGTGACCTTGGAGAAGGTTACTATTCATACTTCTAAATCCTAATAAGACGGATAATGACAGTACCTATGTGCTAGAGTTCTTAGGAGGATTAAATGAGTTAATGCACATAAAATTTGTAGTATATGCATAGGCACGTAGTAAATATTCAATATTTAAGTGAATAAATTACATTAAAAATTATATGAATTCAGAAAACAAACCAATTGATAAACTGACAGCATTGTTTCTTGTTAGAGTGAATTTTAAAAATATCTAACCTAAATTCCTCTATTTGGGTTAAATTTGCATTTCTTATTAAAAAATGGCAGAATGGTCTTTTCCTAGTACATATGGTTACGTTCAGCACTCTCTGTGAACAGTTCATAGGAAGTAACGTGGTCATTAAAAGCGGGGCTTGGAGACAGAACCTGGGCTTGGGTTCTGGCTCTGCAGCTGTAGGACTGGAGACAAATTCCTTGCTTTCTGCATCTCCCTATCTCCCAGGACTACTGTGAAGTTCAAATAAGAAGATGAATGGGAAAATATTTAGTAAACTATTATGTTCCACAAATAAGACTTATTTAGTGACAACCAGCCTTTGCCTCATTTTCACTCTTTACCTGTACTAATTCTATCAAAGATAGAGGAATAAAATGATTACTTGGATCCAAAAGAAGGATCTTTATAAACACAGGCAACTTATTGGCCAGAACTAGTTACACAGTTCAACTCAACCACAAAGGATCCAGGAAACGTCACCCTATTATGTACTTGGGAAGAGAGAGAGAATCAGAATATTCCGTACACAACAGTACTGACTGCATAGTGATATTGTTTTCTCCACTATGACTGTGCAAATATTCATGGGTAGTCTATTTAACAAATGATTATATTTTCTTGTCCAAATTTATGGTTTCACTTATATAACCATTTTTTTCATACTTGAATTTCCTAGTTATGTATCATTAATTCATCGTCAAGCTTTCTGGTTAAAATGAAGTTTTCTCTCAAGTTCAGACACATCAGGGATTGTTGATTCTTTTTCTTCCCCCAGTGGAGAGATTCTTCCTGAAATCTGCCATCCTCCTGCTCTACTCTGGACTGGCTGCTCCCTAGGCCTGCTACACGGCTCTCGGCTCTCACGTTGAGACTGCCCTTCATCTGTATCCCAAGGATCCCGTTCATCTCTCCTCTGCCTTAGATGCCCTTATTTCTCAGATCCTATGCCTTCTTTTTCTTCCCATATAATTCTCTTATTTTGTTATAGGACATATTCTAACAACTTCTTGAGAAAGAGTGCATGGGAAGAAACATTTTGAGATATTGTGTGTCTGAAAATATCTTTATTCTATCCTTATACTTGACTGATGGTATTGTTGGATTCTTGGTTGGAACCCATTTTTCTTTAGTTTTAAAGGACTGCTTCATTGTTTTCCAGTTCAAACACTGCTGTTGAGAAGTCCACTCTAATTCCTACTGTTTCAGTGCATGCCCTGTACATTCCTCCCTAGAAACTTAGGAACTTCTTATCCCTGATTTCTTGTGCCCTGGTAGAAAGTCTTCTTTCATTTATTGCACAAAAACACCCTGGTCTTTTCAATTTGAAAGTCATATGTTTCATTTCTGGGAAAATTTCTTGCATTACTTCTTTGCTAATTTCTTCCCATTAATTTTCTGTGTTGGATTTTGAATCTGGACTCACCCTCTCTAATTTTTTAAAAAATATCTTTTTCCCCGTTTTTCATCTTTTTGTGTTTTGTCCTAATTCTTTGGAGATTTCCTTAACTTTATTTTCCAGTCCATCTACTGAGTTTTTCCTTTCATCAACTATATTTTTAAATTTTAAGAGCTCTTTTTTGGGCTTCCTATATGTTTTGTTTTTATGGTATCTTATTTTTCGTTCATGAATACAGTATCTTCTCATCTTTGTGAAATTATACTTTTAAAAAGATTTTGTTTTTTCATGGTCTCTGTTTCCTTCAAGTTCTTTCTCTGTACTTCAGGTTGAAGGCTTTCCTCAAATGTGTGGTTAATCTTGGGCTTTTTGTTCACACTTAGGATTGATGAACAGATACATCAATCAGTGTATCACAATGTGGATCTAATCACAAGTTGGATACAAACTTCTGGGTGAGGGACTTTAATTTGGGTGATGAGGCGGAGGTTCAGCTTTTCCACGGGGGGAGTCCCAACTTTCAATATGTATAGGTTTGATCTCCTAGGACAGGTAATTTCCTTATATAGAATGGAACCCCATATCCTCCTAACCCGGAGTATATAACATGGTGCCTGCTTTCCCAGAAGTTCACAGGAGAAGAGGGCTGAGTGTCTGTCTCACTGTTCTGGGATAGATCCTCACTGAATCATTCTGTTTTTGCATGACTGCGCCTGGTTGCCCATGCCGAGCAACTCTGTTCAAGCTAGTGTCCTCCACGAAGGTAGAGGAGGGCAGTTATTTGGCTATATATGTAGATGGGATCTCGGGCACCTAAGTGCCTCTTATTTAGACTTTCAACCAATCTTCTTCCTCTTTTCAGCCCACTTGCACCCTCATTTTCTGAGATAGTTGCTAACTCTAATTCTTGAGCCTTCTGGGATTCTGTGGCACAAATTTTCTTCTGCCATACTTCCTCCTGCTAGTTTAGGCTTTAGCTTTTAGGCAATTGTCTTTCAATCATCTGCTTTCCAGATTAAAAATATTTGTTTTCCTTTCCTTCCTGTGCTCTTTCTTTGAGGGTTTATGACTTTATCTATATACTAGAATGTCTGTGGGGCCTCTGGACAGAATGTAATTTATGTGTTCAGTTGGCCACATTTTAAAATTAACTCAGTAAATTCTCTAAAGACATCACTTTCTTTTTCTTTTACACACTAGAGTAATACATTTCTGGGTAATGTCAGAGTTCTTCATTCATCACAAATTTTCATATTCCTTTTTCCCCTAACAACCTTGTACAGGTTTTCATCATGAAATATTTAAAATAAAACATTATGCATGTATGCATGGTGTCTTTAGCAATCTTTTATTTATCTAGAAGTGTTTTATCCAGTAATTACATCTTTTAAGAATACAGTTCAGAATCAAGAAGAAATAAAAAAGACTTCGGAGATACCAAACTATTACAATGACATCATTTATTTGATCAATTGCTCACCTAGCATTTGAATACCTAACACATACATGGCCAAGGGAGCAGAGGGAGGCTCTGCTCACCCTCAGGCTTTCATTCAGATCCTACAGACTCTGAGTTTACAATACTGTAGTAAGTTGTGGTTTCTCGGTTTACACAACAGAAGGAATAATATAAAGAAAAGTGATGACCATTTTAGAGGTAGGCAGTAGCGAAATGTGACACTAATTCTGGAAGCACAAGACGAGAGAGATACAAGAATGCAAAAGGCATTGCAATGCGGGGACACTTAGACTCATTCATCTTTATTTCCTATGAAATTATTTTTTATTACAAATCCGTGTTATAATAACTGCTAATTCTCAAAATGACAACCTTCAGATGTCAAGCACAAGTTAAATTATGAGCCACACTTATGGGGCAGGGAAGGAAGAATAAAAACAAATGTTTATTGGGTTTTTTCACAATGCCAAATTTTTAAGCATTTTCCTTGTATCATCTTATTTAATTTTTACAGACTAAGAAATCAAAGTTTGGAGATATCAAGCAACATGACCAAGTTTCATAGCTAGTTATGGAAGAGCTGGGACTTGAACCTGATCTGTTAAAGACTCTAAAGCCCGTGTGCTTTCCCGTACCCCACACTGACCCCCTCCCACTGGGTATCTCTTTTACTGAAGATTCTGGAGCAACTTTGTCTCTGGTGGAGGAAGTGAAAATTGGTCATGGGCCAAACACTGCCTTATTGATATCTCTTTCATTATAAAACAAGAGCATTATTCTTGGCCAAAAGAGTAAGAAAATATTTAAGGGCTGTTGGGATAATTCTGGGGGAAATATACTAATCTTATTATTCAGGAACTATAAATGTGGTTGGGGACCAAATGCCACTTCTTCTTAATCCACCCCAAGAGAATCAGCTCAATGTAAAGCAAGTCAGATATATATTTTCACACTATTCTTATCTTTTCTGCCTGTAGGTGACAACTTTTGATTTTCTATCTCATTGGGCCTTTTTATTTATTTGAAGAGATGGGGTCTTGCTCTGTCACCCAGGCTGGAGTGCAGTGGTGGGATCACAGCTCACTGCAACCTCACACTCCTGGACTTTGGCGATCCTCCTGCCTCAGACTCCTGAGTAGCTGGGACTGCAGGTACATGCCACCATGCCCAGCTGTTTTTTTGTTTGTTGTTTTTGTAGAGATGGGGTCTTGCTGTGTTGCTTAAGCTGGTCTCAAACTCCTGGTCTCAACTGATTCTTTTGCCTCAGCCTCCCAAAGTGCTGGGATTACAGGGATGAGCCACCTTGTCCGGTTTTCACTGGGGCTTTGTGCTTTTATAAACACCATTTTGTCAGTTTCTCATGAAGTGAACACACATTGAAAAGCCTCTATAACAATGTAGCAGTTATACAAAGAACCCCTGTGGCCCGGCAGGAGCCAAGCCTCCCTTGTTCCGCCTGCTGGGATGAATCCTGGGATGGCAGGCCTGGGTCTACAGGCCTTTACTACAGTGGACAGTCTTTCCGTGATCTCCTTTTTCTCTAATAGTCTCAGGGAGCCGTACATCCCATTAAATCACCTCATCATCGTTTTCACAGAAAACGTTTTCATAGAAAATTTCATTTTTTTATAATTCCCTCATTTAGTATTGGCTCTTTACCACAGAGAATAGCGTTCTTTTGCTTGCAGTCTTTGACAGA